TATGTATATTTAGAATACTATTTCTCCATATCTTTTCAATCTGTATGCGGAACAGATTATCTAGGAGTCTGGGCTCTATGAGAAGTGTGGCATCAGGATTGGAAGTAGACTCATTAACAATCTATGTTATGCAGATGACACAACCCTGCTTGCTGAAACTGAGGAGGACCTGAAGTGCTTGTTGTGAAGGGTTAAGGACTGCAGCCTTCAATATGGATTGAGGCTCAACATCAGGAAAACAAGGATTCTCACCACTGGGTCAGTTGACAGCATCATGATGGATGATGAACACATTGAGATTGTTGACAGCTTCAGTTTGCTTGGCTCTACAATCAACACTCTTCGTACCAGCAGCCAGGAAATTAAAAGATGAATTGCATTGGGAAAGTATGCTGTCAGAGAACTCTCCAAGGTACTGAGGAGTAACAATGTCAGTCTGGAGAGTAAGGTGCACCTGATACAGGCCACGGTCTTTGCAATTACTTGCTATGCATCAGAGAGCTGGACAATGACTAGGGATGATAGGAGAGTTGATGCCTTTGAGCAATGGTGCTGGAGAAGAGTATTAAATATAACATGGACTGCTAGGAACAAACAAGTTCGTCCTGGAGAGAGTGAAGCCAGGCTGTTCCTCGGAGACAAGTATTCTGAAGCTTCATCTGATGTACTTTGGACATGTTGCAAGGCAAAATCAGTCTTTGGGAAGGTGGAGGGTCAGTGCAGGACTGGAAGACCCTCGATGAGATATATTCATTCCATCACTGGGGTTATGGGGATAGGTGTGTCAGAGTCAAGAAGACTGGCAAGGGATAGAGCAGAGTTTAAGGCTGTTGTACATAGGGTCATTATGAGTTGCAAGCGACTTCATATCACATAACATCAACAACCACAATGTAAATTTAGATAATATTTTTATTAATGTTATGCATGAAAAGAAATAAAATATGCTTGTTATATTGTTGTTGTTATATTATTAAAGATAAATATATATTATATTATTAAATATAAATAATACAGTGAGAGGAACTGAGCCGAGGGGTTTCATACAATCAAAAGAACATTTGTTCTGATCACTGAAGGCTTGGCTTGAACTTGTAATATAATGAGTTTCCTCATTTGCAGAACGGTTATCACACTAACAACAATATCAGGTACCTGAGAGAGTGTGCTTTAAGAAATCTCAGGCCATTTATGACTCATTCTAAGAAATGACAATGCTATTGTTAGCTGCTTTCTAGTAGACTCCTACTCATAATGTTGTTTGTGTTTTTTTTTTTAAATTCTGAGGCTAACTTGAGTTTCTGAGAAGACTTGACAGAAGTTATTTGACCAAAACCTGATGATTGCTCCTTAAAAGATCGGCCTTGA